CTCTCTCTCTCTCTCTCTCTCTCTCTCTCTCTCTCTCTCTCTCTCTCTCTCTCTCTCTCTCTCTCTCTCTCTCTCTCTCTCTCTCTCTCTCTCTCTCTTCTCTCTCCCTCTCTCTCTCTCTCTCTCTCCTCTCTCTCTCCTCTCTCCCTCTCTCTCTCTCTCTCTCTCTCCCTCTCTCTCTCTCTCTCTCTCTCTCTCTCTCTCTCTCTCTCTCTCTCTCTCTCTCTCTCTCTCTCCTTTTCTGAAACGGTTGACGCATCTAATTTGAATAAATCCCAAACACCTATGGCAAGATAGCTTATAGATTTATCCCTGTTATAATACATCTCTTTCTCTCCCCTGCTTTTATCCCTCTTTTGCCGTAAAAAAAGCACTTTGTTGCCTCCGAGCAGAGTTTATGATTGCAGCCTCCGTTATGGTTAAGGTTTACGACTCACTAACGTAAAATATATATATATATCGCTCTCCGCGCTGCGTTCACACGGGTTACGTTCATTTTCGGACTTTTAAACCCAGGTCGTCATATTTTTTTTTCCTTTACATTGATATTTTTATATCTTTTAATGCCCATAAGACAGTCATAGTGTAAACTTTTCATTACGTTTCAGACTTTAATCCCTGGATAATGGTGATAGTTCAAAGATGTCATATGAGATTATTCCTTTTTTGATATTTATTTAAATGGTCTAAGAATGGCGTCTCGGGTCGTTCTGGGTCATTTCTATACGTCTTTAAAACCACGTTCGAGGAAATTGAAAATGCGTATCGACGTTCACATGCATTTCCCCCGACCCCCCCCCACCCCCCGCCCTCAATGGAGCCCCATGAACATCCCAGAACACGGGAGTCTGATATCGAAATTTGGCTCTTAATTCGAAAGGCAATAACGCGCATTTTCCCCTGGCAAAGAGGCGTTTTCCCGTTGTCGCTCCTCTGTCGATTTTTTTCCCCCCGTCGGGCCCATCTCGTGCTCTTTGGCGCTCCCTCTTAGGCGCTTTTCGTCCTGCTGTTAAAGCCTGGGTTTCTTTCCTTTTCAGCTTCTGTTTCCTCTCCTCTTCTTTTTCTTCTTCTTCTCTTCTCTTCCTCCTTCTTCCTTCTTCTTCTTTTCTTCTTCTTCTTCTTCTTCTTCTTTTCTCTTTTTTCTTCTTTCCTCCTTCCTCCTCCTCCTCCTCCTTCCCCCTTTCCTTCTCCTCCTCTACCACCCCACCACCTCCTCCTCCTCCTTTTCCTCCTCTTCCTCCTCCTTTTCTTCCTCCTCTTCCTCCTCCTCCTCCTTGTCTCCTCTACACCACCCCCTCCCTCCTCCTTTTCCTCCTCCTCCTCCTTTCTCCTCCACCACCAACCCCCTCCTCGTCTTCCTCTTTCTTTTCCCCTTCCTGATTTAACTCTTGTTTTTCCTCTTCCCGCCTCGCCTTGCCACTCAACCTAATAGAATTTATGCCACACTTTTTTCCCCAAACACTTTTTTTTCTCGGAATAGTCACAAAAGTGGATTTCTACTCCAGCCGCTGTGGTAAAATACTGTCGCCTCTATTCCCTTCTCCTCCTTCTCCTTCTTCTTCTCCCTCCTTCCTTTTCTCGTTTATTTTCTCTTCTCTTCCTTCTTTTTGCCCTTCTGGTGATCCCTTGTCAAGTCTTAACTGTCCTTGTTTTTCTTTTTCTATCCTTTCGCTGGCCTTTCTTGCGCCCATCTATTTTTTTTCTTCCATTACCCTCTCAGTCCATTTTTTTTCTTTCTTTCTTCTTTCGTTTACATTTTTCGTCATTTTCATTCTCTTCTTCCTCATGCACATACCTTCAGCTAACAATTATTCTTGTTTTCCTTGGCTCTCCTCTCATTTATTCTTTTATTTTCTTTATTTTCTTTTCCTATTCCCCCTTCCCCTCGATTTGTCTTTTTTTTCCTTCCTCACCCTCCCTTCTATTTGTATTTCCGCTTTCCCCCTACCTCCCTTCCCCCTACTTCCGCTTCCCTTCCCTCCCTCCCTCCGCCCCTCGTCCTTCCCCCCTCCTTCCTTCCACCTCGTCCTCCCCTCCCTCCCTTCCCTTCCTCCTTCCCCCTTCCCTCCCTTTCTTATTCTCCCCTCCCTCTCCTCCCTTTCTTCTATCCTTCCCCTTCCCCCTTCCTCCCCTCTCCTTACTTCCCCCCCTCCCTCCTTCCTCTCCTTACCATTCTCCCCTCCCTCTCCCTTCTCTCTTTCCCTTTACCTCTCCCCCTCCCTCCCTTCCTCCTTCCTCCCGTCCTCTTCCCTCCTTCTCTTCCCTCGCCCCTCCCCTTCCCTCCCTCCTTCCCTCGTCCTTCCCTCCCTCCCTTACGTATTCTCCCCCTCCCTCCATCTTCCCTCGACCCTCCCCTTCCTCTCCCTCCCTACCTTACCCATTCTCCCCTCCTCCTTCTTCCCTCTCCCTCCCCTTCCCTCCCTTCCTCCCTTACCCATTCTCCCTCCCTCTTCTTTCCTCGCCCTTCCCCTTCCCTCCCTTCCTTCCCTTACCCATTCTC